ATCCACGTATATAAGCCTTTTCCACTTGGTTACTTCTTCACCTATATCCACACCTCCCTGAATTCTTTACCTGATGGAGCTGCGGCTTACGTTCCAGCAACAGGGGAAGAATGAAGAGAGATGGAGAGAAGTCAGGGGAAGGCAGGGTGCAAGGCCCAGCAAAGGAAAGGCAGGACCGTGGAGAGCTGGGAGCGGGCGGGCGGCCCTTGCAGGCCCGAGAGGCACTCCCAGACCTCAGCTGGCCTCAGTCCCAGACAGGTGCACATTTCAGGCGTTGCTCGCTGAGTGTGTCAGCATTTGGTCCTCAACAGGCATCGTCAAAGGAGTACAAATGTGTGGGACAGACTTGTGAAGCTCTTCACTTCCAGGATGTATGGACGCAGGGGAACTGTGGGGCACTTTGGTCTTTTTGCATCTTCAAACTTCCCTTTTCTGGTGTCTGTGTTCTCTGCCCACAAACATGCACAGCTTTTCTTTTTTTGAACAAACCTCTCCTTGGGCTTCCCAGTGTAGAGCCCACCCGACTGTTTTGTCAGAATCATCTACCATGTGCATTTCCAGCAGGAGGAGTTTGCTTCCATAAATCACAGTGCATCCATATTGCAGAACTGCTTGATGTTAGACTATGTTGTAGAATAACAGTTAATGATTTGGGGATTTTTTTTCAAGGTATATATTAAGAGAAAAAGGTGACCAAAAAAAAGACTCTGTTGTAGACTCTCATCCGTGTGTGTGTATATGGTTGCGAAGGCTAAAGGCTGTCTACCAAGATGGGGCATTCATGGCGAGGGGTGTGCTGCTTTTATCTGCATTTGCTGCTGTTAATTACTTTCCTCTTGAGAGGGTGGGAGGCACAAAAAGTTGTTATTTCTTAAGGCAAAGAGAGTGCTGTGTTGGTTGACACCTCTCTCTCAAACTCTCGGGGCCTCTGTCTCTTGTCCTGTAAAATTAAAGGGGGGAGCGGGATGTAGGGTGTGTGCTGAGTTCAGTGAATGCTCTTTTGAGTCTCCATGGAGTTGTAACTGCCTGTGATGCTATGGCTTGATGGGGGGTCTCCTGGGTTTATCCTGTGGTCCTCGCCCTCTTTATTAGAGCAATTTAGGAGCACTGTTAGGAAAAATACGCTAAAGTGAAAGTCACTTAAAATGCTTGTGGTATCAAATATTACCCTTTTTTCAAAAATGATCTTTGTTTCTTTGAGGACTTTCATTTGCAATATTAAAGGCTTAAGACTGGTTTCTGGGAAGTCTTTAGTGAGTGCTTGCTAGACCAGGGACTTGAAAGTTTGTTAGAAAGCCATTCCCAGAGTACTCGGGATCCTTGTGTTGTAAACTCTGACTTTTACCTAGACGGGGTTTCATTTTACAACCTCCTGGGTTTGTGAGCCCCCGTCTTGTTATGCGCACCTCGGAGTGCAGTTGTATGTCAGCCACTCTGCGGTAGGGTATCAGGATGTGTTCCGTCATGATTTGGGGGGAAAGGAGACGGGGCTGAGTGGTGTAGCACTTACAGCCCTCTACAGAGCAGCTGTTCTTAGCTTTCTAAGGAAAGCTTTCATGCGAACGGATGAACACAGTGAGACTGCAAGGCCTTTGCCTAAGAGTTGGAGTCTGGATGAATGGCCGCGTCTTCTTTCAGGTTTTCCTGTGCCTGCCCTGGGGTAGGTGGTACCTGGCTTCTGCTCAGCCCTTAAAGAACACCTGGCGCCAGGGTTGTCAAGGTCAGGGAGGACCCGAACCAACTCCAGCATCCCAATTCAAGCTTTCTCTTTAGTCTTTAAGATTCCCCCTTGGGATTTGCTCATTTAGAAGGCAACGCGAGACTGGAAGTTTCTGAGGGTGGTGAGAAGGTCAGTCATTCTGTCTAAACTATGACAGAATCCATTGGGCTCAGAACCTAATCCCTTCTGAAGGATGGGGGAGAGCTGGGCCATCTGACACTGAGTTCCGGTCCTCTCTAGCTCCTTTCCATCCACCCCTTACCGGAATCGGGATCTGAACGTTACCCAGCATTCCAGGGAACAGGCCGGAGTTCTTTAAAAACTGACATATACTTGACCAGACCAGCTACATAGGTTGAAGGGCTCAGTACATAATGAAACGTGGGGCCTCTTGTTCCCATGTTAAGAATTTCAAAGGGCATCAAGTGAATGCAGGGCCCTGCAACTTCATGGACTGCACACGCATGCAGGCGTTCCTATGTTTGATTAAACCTGGGTCCCAGAGGAAAGATCCAGGCCTGCCCACTGACCGGATTTTTGTCCTTGCCTGTCCACATACCTACTGAGGATACCCACGTGGGGGGCTGCGACCTCCAGCTCCCCTCCGCGGCCGGGTGAACGCTCCTTCCCAGCCACTCGCGGCTGGAGCTCAGCTTCCGTCACCCCCCTGCCCACGCCCTCTGCGGCTGCCAGCGCAGGCCTTGGCTGGACTAGAGGACCCACTTTCCTCCGTTAGAAAGTGCAGTGACTTCAGAGGCATAAAACTAGCCGCCACTGGGACGGCACAGGACTCAAATGTTTATGCTTTCGTCTCATTTAAATTTTTCTTTTCCTTTCCTTATTTTGTTAATCATAGTCTCAGTTCAGTGCAGCGGTGCTAGCTGAGAAGTCCCCACCCCTCTGCTTGCTAATTCATTCCCAATGGGAACAGGAATATAAGTTGTAAGATGTGCAGTTAGACCTAAAAATGCTAGATATCTTTGAATGCAAAAACAAAGAGCCATTTCTCGTAAAAAGCAAAAGTAAACTATGCTTTTTTGTTGGCCCTAACACAGTATAGTACTTCCAAATGTCATTTTAAAATGCTAAAAACAGCTGCAAAAATTATATCCTTTTGTGGTTTTCCTTTTAACTGGGACATTTAGGAAATTAGCATTTGGGGCCAAGTTAATTCGAGTAAAGTAAGATAGTGAGTGACACATATTGAAAATGAAGCCACATTAAAATACAATTACAGTTGATATTTTTTCCTTGATATTAACACACATTAATATCTTACAATCTATTGAGATGTGCTATTTGAAATAATTATCATTGGTTATGGAAAGGGACATTTTAAAGTATAATTAGTAAATAAGTAATATTTTACAGAGGTTATACAGTAGCAGCCAGAGCTCACATCAGCTCATTTTTAAAATATAGTTCCTAACTTTGTAATTATGACACTCTCCTCAGACTGGGGCTTTAGGTTAAGAATGAGCATCTTTATGGTTTTTTGTTTTGCTCTTATTGTTGAGGAAATGGGAGTCATTATTTATCAAAGACATTGCTTTTAGTAGAAAGCAATCAAACCTTGCTCCTATTTAGAAACAGGTCATGGAAATGAAGTCATACATTTTTTTCATTAAGAATTAAAATGGGAATCTCTGTCTGATTACTTTTTAAAATATTTAAAACTTTTTTCCAATTGCAGTTGACATACAATTTTATGTTACTTTCAGGGGTACAACATAGTTCTGATTTCTTGACTCAGAACTTTACATTTCAATAGGTGGTACCCTTCGGGAGAGATCAGAGCTGTGGCTCATACATCTGAGGGCCACAGCACCACTCATTCACATACTTTTCCCTTCCCCAACCCAATCACATGTTCTAAAATGAAATCTCCCAAGGGGGAACCGGGGAGCTCAACAGCCCAGAGACTCCTAGGTCTTCCCCTGCTGCTCTCAGGCCACCCTTCCCCGACCTGTAGAGCACTCCTGATCCATTCACTCTGGCATCTGCCTCTCCCATGCTTTGCCTCTCCTTACAGTATATCACAAACCTGAGCATTGCTTATAAAATGAATTGAGGATATTTTGGAAGTTGGCTGTCATGGGTTCAAATCCTGGCTCCAACACATCTTATCTTTATGACCTTGGACAAGTTCATTCACATATCCAAGCTTTGGTTCCTAATCTGTGAATTGAAGGTACCATTTGCTATTTTAAGGATTTGCGAGGAACACAGTGTAAGCTAACACTGAATCACTCAGCACAAAGTCCCTCAGACAGCTTATTCTCAATATCAGGACAAATTAAATTGGTAACAGATCTGCTTGAAATATTTGTTAACTCACTGTAAAAGTAACTGTGGTCAATTTAGACTTGCACGTTACCCAAGGAAAATAATTCATGCTGAATTTTTCCATAGTTCAACTTTTTAGATATATCTGCCACCTACCAAAACAGGAAAATGTGCGAATTATAGTTCATGCATTTCATAGAAATACTGAAATCTTGCAGTAATTAAATCTAGTACTTGAGAAAAAAACCAGCTTCTGTTATCAATATTTTAGTGAAACACTAGTTAAGGAGCATCTTGACAAACTTCCTGCAATATAACTATCTGTACAGTAGAAAGTATGAATTTGACTACTATTTGCAATTATTGATACTCAGTTATTATTAGGCTCTAATTATCATGGGAAGTGTGCAAAACATAACAGAGCTAACTCTTTGGAGTATGGGAGTGTTTGCTTCGAGAAACTATTGGGAAATGCGCTATTTATAAAAAGATGTTTCAGTTTGTGCATGGCTGTTGGCTGTTGTATCTTACTGCTTTTCTCCTGATATTTTTCTCAATTAATTCTTTTCTTAATTGATGTCTGTGCTCTCTCTCTCTACCTCCCTGGCAGTCTTTTCCCTATAAAAGGACCCATCTGTCTAAGGTAGAGATTCTCCATTTTTATATGCTCACTGGTGACTAAGCTGCATGGGGTAGACATGCTTATTTAGAATTCTCCTTTAACTCTGCTTTTTCAGTACCGTGGTGTTTTGTTTGTTTCCCTTTAAGTAAAATATGTTCCTTTTAGTCTGAATTTAAGCACCTAAAAAAGTATGTTTCATTTCTAATCATAGTCATAGAGCAATGTATACATTTTAAACTCTCTAATCCATAGTAATGAAAAATCGTACTCAAATAACTGATGCCCTTTGTAATTACTTACCTATACAAAGAGTAAGAGAGAGAGAGAAGAGCTCTTTTAGAAAAGTGACTCATTTTCATTTGATTTTATTAGACTGGAATTTGAGCGGCAACAGCGTGAAGAACTTGAAAAATTAGAAAGCAAAAGGTAAGCTACATGGGTTACTGAGTTTTGACGCTCCTGTGGTTGTGGGTTCTTGTGTTAATGTCTAGATTGACTTCATCTCTGTCTGTTCAATAGCCCCCCTCTGACTCTGTGTCTCTTATTTACCTGTCTAATGACTGGAGGCCATTTTTCTGTAGCCGGTTAGTTTTATTTCACGTCTGAATTTTTTAAATAGTTCTTCTTCAAATACTTGTGAGAAAGGACGACCAGAGTCAGTAGGCAAATTTAATGTACCCATTTAATTTAATAGGCCAAATATATACTTGTTTAAGTTGAACTCAAAAGTATATCTTCCTTAAAAATATCAGCTGAGTTTTTAAAAAGCTGAAAGGACAGTTTCCCTTCCTATGCCTCCCCCCTCTTTAAATATCTTTTCCAGCCCTGGTTGGCCATTTGTATTTCCCCCTATAATCTGCTTCATAGTCTTCGCTCACTTTTCTTTTGGTATATGTGTGTCTGGTTAATTTATTGATTTGGAGAGTTTTTATATGTTCTGAATGTAATTATTTGATAAAAATCTCCTTTTTTTCTTCTATTTAACGGTCCAAGAAATAGACTAAGATATTGGAGTAGGAACTTAGGCCATAGAAAATCTACAAAATGAATATTTTCTAAAATCTGGAGGTTAGGTGTTACAGATGAATTAGTTTTCAGCATCATATAAGATCGGAGGCAACCCCACCCTGGAAACACTGAGTTAGCACCCAGTGGGGGTCATTTGTTCCACTAGACAAAACACGACATAACTGGAGTCACGCATTTACGTTTTCTAATGAAGACTGTGTTATTTTCAATGTCATGTATTAATAAGCGAATATTTTGGGCCATTTGGTGATTACCATTTTTCCTAAGCTGGTGATTAAATGCTAAATAACATGTAGTTATATGAGCAGGAGCAGTGGATTGTCGATTATCTTGGCTTGGATATTTGACCCCAATGAGCTTAAGATAGCATAAGCATTTTTATTTGATGTCATCTCGTAACTGACTTTGTTGCATTTTAACCATTGGGCTGAATAAGATTATTCACATTTAAATTTAAATTGGGCACAGTTCTTTCTCTTTGAGCTCAGGGGGCTTTTAAAATTACATCACGCACAACACAAGATGCTTATAGACGCCACAAAGAAATGGTATCAGAGGCTACTTGAAGAGCTTGGGCCAATGATACGTTGGACAGGTACAGAGTAAAGAAATCAAACAGTCTGCTACTGGAAATGCCGGGGACAGCAGCTCCCCCTCCTTGGCATTGCTGCAGAGGGCTTGGCTGTCTATCGCGTGTTCATTTCAGGGCATCTCAGTCAGGGGAAAGAGCAGCGTTTGAACACGGTGCTCCCGTAACGATCGGTGACCATCTTGCATTTCAGGAAACTCATAGAAGAGATGGAGGAAAAGCAGAAATCAGATAAGGCAGAACTGGAGCGGATGCAGCAGGAGGTGGAGAGTCAGCGCAAGGAGACGGAGATCGTGCAGCTGCAGATCCGCAAGCAGGAGGAGAGCCTCAAGCGCCGCAGCTTCCACATCGAGAGCCGGCTGAAGGACCTGCTGGCCGAGAAGGAGAAGTTCGAGGAGGAGAGGCTGCGGGAGCAGCAGGAGCTGGAGCTGCAGAAGCAGCAGCAGGAGGAAGCGCGCTTCCTCCGGGCGCAGGAGGAGCTCCAGCGCCTCCAGGAGCTCAGCAGCCACGAGAAGGCCGAGAAGATCCAGATATTTCGAGAGCTGGACCGGCTGCAGAGGGAGAAGCACGAGCAGCACGCCAAGCTTGCGCTGGAGAAGCAGCGGCTGGAGGAGCAGGAGCGGGAGCAGGCGCTGCTCGTGGCCCACCTGGAGGAGCAGCTGCGGGAGAAGCAGGACATGATCCGGCTGCTGCGGCGAGGGGAGGTGCAGCGCGTGGAGGAGGAGCGGCGGGACCTGGAGGGCATCCGGGAGTCCCTCCTGCGGGCGAAGGAGGCCCGCGCCGAGGGCGACGACGACGGCGGCGACGAGGAGCTGGAAAGGGCCCAGCTGCGTTTCCTGGAGTTCAAGAGAAGGCAGCTGGTGAAGCTGGCCAACCTGGAGAGGGACCTGGCGCAGCAGAGGGACCTCCTGAGGACGGAAGTGGAAGGAGAGCAGGCAGCCCTGGAGCGCCTCAGATCTGAAACCGGAGAGGGGCTTAGGCTGCCGGGAAGCGGCGGCGACAGCGTCACCTCCGTGGCCCCGGCCGCTCCCGACGCGGAGAAGATAAAGCCGGCGGAGTGCCGGCTGCAGCACAAGGAGCGCCAGCTCCAGTCGCTGCTGCAGAACCACCTGCCCGCGCTGCAGGAGGAGAAGCAGAGGGCCTTGGACACCCTGGGCCGCGGGCCCCTGGGCCTGGACAACACGCTCTATCAGGTGGAGAAGGAGATGGAGGAGAAGGCGGAGCAGCTGGCGCGGTACCAGGCCAGCGCCAGCCAGCTGCAGAGGCTGCAGGCCACCTTCGAGTTCACGGCCAACGTGGCGCGGCAGGAGGAGAAGGTGCGGAGGAAGGAGAAGGAGATCCTGGAGTCGCGGGAGCAGCAGCAGCGGGAGGCGCTGGAGCGCGCCGTGGCCGGGCTGGAGCGCAGGCACTCGGCCCTGCAGAGGCGCGCCGCCCCGGGCCCCGACACCCAGGAGCAGAGGCGGAGGCTGGCCACCCTGGGCGGCGGCGAGCGGGCCGGGGTGCAGGCCAGCCTGGAGGCCAGCCTGGAGGCCAGCCTGGAGGCGGAGCGGGACGCCCTGGAGAAGGACCGGGAGAGGTGAGCCGCACAGGGGGAGCGCGGCCAAGCGCTGGTGCCGGTGCCCAGAGGGCGCGTTGTCAGCACCTCGCACTGTGCCTCTCTCTGTCTCTTAAAAGCGATTCCTTCAGCTTTTGTATTCTCTACTACACAGGCAAATGTGTACCTGCCTTAGAAAAAATGTCCCTCGACGTTGTTTACTTCCTCTTTGGGATCTTTGTTTTAGAATCATTGGCCGAAAGTTGAAAAGGCACAAACAAAAACAAAGCCCTTGTTCATCCCCCCGCTGACCTGTGGAGTGTGTAGGTTTTGGTATTTGGTAGATGCAGAGGACTGAAAGCTTCCAGCCTTGGTTCCCTTCTCCCTGACTAGTCCAAGTTACAGTAAGGCACCCCCTGTGCCCACAGATTGCGGGGCGTACTGATTTCCACACCTAGGAGGGAACAGAACAGTGCTTCTCCCACCCCGATGATTCACAGTATTGAAGGGGAGCCCCCAGAATTCTGTATTTTAAAAGAAACAACCAAACAAAACTCACCAGATGATTCTGAACACAGTGGTATGTTCAAGTATGTTTGACCATCTTTTACTGATATTACTGTTGGCGTTGTGAAAAGTAAAACTGGGAATTAGCACTATTTTCATGACAAAGAATATTCCCTTCCTTCACCTATCCCCTCTCACTAATTCCCGTACAGTAGGTTCTCAAAATGAGGAAAGACACGAATTCGAGAACGCTTTCTCTGGTGCCCTGCAGACATGATGCCAAGACTCACGTCACCTGATTTGTCATCCTGCAAGGGGGCTTCATTGCTGGCCTGGCCCTTTCTGCCATGGTGATCTAGGGCAGAATCTTTCATCATTGAGCCGCAGTGTCCTCACCCTATAGGAAGGGGCGGATGAGACCAGGGGCCTGAGCATTTTCTTAGCTCCAGGCCTTTGGCCAGTTGAGATCTTAGTGAAGCCAGGTTGGAGGGCCTGGAGCGCCATCCCCTCCCCAGCATTCCTCCCACCCCTAGGCCTTCTGCAGGGGCTGCAACAGAAGCCCAGTCTGCTGCCCTATAGGAGCCCNGCTGGCCACCCTGGGCGGCGGCGAGCGGGCCGGGGTGCAGGCCAGCCTGGAGGCCAGCCTGGAGGCCAGCCTGGAGGCGGAGCGGGACGCCCTGGAGAAGGACCGGGAGAGGTGAGCCGCACAGGGGGAGCGCGGCCAAGCGCTGGTGCCGGTGCCCAGAGGGCGCGTTGTCAGCACCTCGCACTGTGCCTCTCTCTGTCTCTTAAAAGCGATTCCTTCAGCTTTTGTATTCTCTACTACACAGGCAAATGTGTACCTGCCTTAGAAAAAATGTCCCTCGACGTTGTTTACTTCCTCTTTGGGATCTTTGTTTTAGAATCATTGGCCGAAAGTTGAAAAGGCACAAACAAAAACAAAGCCCTTGTTCATCCCCCCGCTGACCTGTGGAGTGTGTAGGTTTTGGTATTTGGTAGATGCAGAGGACTGAAAGCTTCCAGCCTTGGTTCCCTTCTCCCTGACTAGTCCAAGTTACAGTAAGGCACCCCCTGTGCCCACAGATTGCGGGGCGTACTGATTTCCACACCTAGGAGGGAACAGAACAGTGCTTCTCCCACCCCGATGATTCACAGTATTGAAGGGGAGCCCCCAGAATTCTGTATTTTAAAAGAAACAACCAAACAAAACTCACCAGATGATTCTGAACACAGTGGTATGTTCAAGTATGTTTGACCATCTTTTACTGATATTACTGTTGGCGTTGTGAAAAGTAAAACTGGGAATTAGCACTATTTTCATGACAAAGAATATTCCCTTCCTTCACCTATCCCCTCTCACTAATTCCCGTACAGTAGGTTCTCAAAATGAGGAAAGACACGAATTCGAGAACGCTTTCTCTGGTGCCCTGCAGACATGATGCCAAGACTCACGTCACCTGATTTGTCATCCTGCAAGGGGGCTTCATTGCTGGCCTGGCCCTTTCTGCCATGGTGATCTAGGGCAGAATCTTTCATCATTGAGCCGCAGTGTCCTCACCCTATAGGAAGGGGCGGATGAGACCAGGGGCCTGAGCATTTTCTTAGCTCCAGGCCTTTGGCCAGTTGAGATCTTAGTGAAGCCAGGTTGGAGGGCCTGGAGCGCCATCCCCTCCCCAGCATTCCTCCCACCCCTAGGCCTTCTGCAGGGGCTGCAACAGAAGCCCAGTCTGCTGCCCTATAGGAGCCCGGCTTGACATTGGCGGAGGCCTGGGGTCCATGCTAATGACAGGCAAGGCCTACTCTGAGTTGTTGCTGGAGCCTCCATCCATCATCTTGCCTGAAAAGGTCAGGACAACCTCCTTTCAAATGATCTGCTTATACTCTGAATTCTATTTACAATTACTCTCTGGTAATTCCCGCAGGCAAAACAGCAACAAATAACAGTCAAAACCATAATGCTATTACTTTAGGGAAATAGGTTGGAGGTTTAAGTATATGATTGCAGGTGTGTTATGTAAACGAAATTGCTGGACAAAGCTCCAGCCCCCGGAAATCTAAAGTAGTGGAGAGCACGCTCTCAATTTGCATCCTGCAGTGTGCAGTAAGAATGCAGCGTGAGCTTTCAGCTTGATGTCCCTGGCTTTTGTCAACGGGCTTTGCACCCTGGCCATTTAGTATTAATACTCTATTATAGCGGATACAGCATTTTGATTCCCATGGAAGTGATTTCCCAGTGTCAGTCAGCATTCCTCTAACAGCCACACAAAGGAGGCTTTTAGCTTCATGTGTTTGATGGAGTAGACTTTGCTAAAACCTAATTCAGGCCCACAAATCTGAGCTCTTTGCTCTGGCTGTGATGCTCCTGCGGTGTCTTAGTGTTTCATTATCTCTCTGCTCTCATGGCTGAGCCAGGGCCTGCCATGCAGCCTGACTTGAGATCCACAAGTGTGAAATGTTAAATTCCAGATTGGACAACTTGGCGGTTGCTTTGTGAACAAAATTTAATCCATTTTCTGTGTGTTTTTTTTCTTTTCTACCCCATGGTTATATAAGCATTGGGGACAAGTGTCAGGCAGAAAGTGGCAGAGCTGCAACTTGAACCTAGGGCCGCTTTCCTCCCAGCTCTTAGCCTCTTGTCCTCTTGTCTGCTGACGAGAGCTGTACCATGGGCAGGCAGCTCGTCACATGTGTTGGAGCCCTGCCTAAAAATCCAGCTCAGCCTTCAGGGACCCACTCAAATCCCTTTGCTCTGTGGAGTCTCTTCCATGGTCCCAGCCCTGAAAGATGCCTTTGAACAACTCCACTGGCCATCATTTTCATTACAAACATTGGTAGTTACCTGCTTATATCCGGCTCATTTTCCTTACGATCTCTGAGACCCTGTTAATATTGTTCCCTGGTTGCTGGCCTACCACCTGGCCCGTAATATCACTCTCTTATACTCATTCCCTCGTCCTTTGAAAATGTTGTGTGCTCTGCAAGAGGATGCTCAGTAAGTACTTGCTAATCAGTGGACAGATGAAGGGCTGAGTTAAGCAGGGCATGGCCTCCTATGGAACCTGTGAGTGCTAACCCTGGTGACCCCATAATCCCATCTCATCAGTTAACAACATGGCTTTCACGTGTAGGACAGAGCAGTCAGATTGCTGCTGGTGACATCAGCGTCTGAAGCTAGAATCCCTGATTTGTGGAGCTGAATGAATTTAAGGGAAACTAGTTGACTCTCTCATTTGATACCTGAAGACATAGAGACCCAGATTTCATTAACTTGCCCCAGTTCACATACCACGTGGGCTGCGGCCCCCAGCTGGGTCTTGTGTTTCCTGGGACAAAATTCAAATTCATCGGCAAACTTGGTCCTCTAGCCTGACGGCCCTGGATCCAAGTGGCAGAATAGCCTTACAGACACCTGACCTCATGTTAAGTGCATGATTATCATAGGAAATAAATGTTTGGTTTCAGAGTTTATAGTTTATATGAATTTCTTAGATCTCTCATCTTTTTGCCTTTTTCACACCCTCTGCCTTAGCTAAAGTGGATTCCTGGTTTTCATGGCTTAGCTTCTGTGTTTATATTGCTTTCCATATACCATATACCTTATCTTTTAGGTATGTGGTCTGTTTTCTATGAGAAGGTAAAGCTCTTTGCACAGAGTTTTTGTCTGGATCCTCCATCGTTTTTAGAGCAATGTCCCAATCATTGATGATGCTCAGGAAATACTGGTAATGAATGAATTCATGCAACTTCCATCTCTGCAGGTTGGAACATGAAATCCAGCAGTTGAAACAGAAGATCTATGAGGTTGATGATGTTCAGAAGGGGCATGTTGGTACCTTGGAGGGAAAGGCTGCTCCTTCTAGCTCATCCAATGCTGAAAAACCTCACCCGGTTCCTCTGATGGATGCCAGGTACTGGGCGTTAAACTGATGCCATTTCTGTTGTGATTCAGTGAGTCACTGTACCTCACTCATATTGGCCAGTTTCCTTATGGAGGGGTCTGCCAAAGGTGACAATTCATGACGCTGAGATGTGCTTTGTCTCCATCAACCACTGCCTGGCCAATGGTGTGTTGAGTTTCATTTAAAGGGAATCAAAATTCTGAGAACCACCGAGCTAAATCCAAGTAATGCTGGCGCAAGTAGTTTGTGTGAGAAGGTAGAAACAAAAGGTCCTGGGAAACCAGCTCATCCAGAAAGAGTGTTGCAAGGCCAAGTTGAGAGGAACAAAGAAATAGCGTTAATAGGAGTCATTGATTACAAATAGATGGAGTCGGTTACAAAAGCTGTCCCAGTATATTCAGAATGATCATGAAGAGCATAAATATATACCAGATGTTACTACAGTGAAATGACTTTCAACTTGGGTGGCACTGCCAATTGCTCTGTGGCTCAGAACTCTCAGATAAATTGACACAGTCATTCTTTAGCTATAAGGAATATGATTATTTTTCTCAGCCCCATCTATGTCATGGGGACATTTCAGATTGGACAGTGCTGAGCCCTGGGTATCAGGAGGTATATATTTGGATATCAAAATGTACTCGGAATAGCATGAGCCTCTGTAGCCCTTTAAAGCTAGGGCTGCATATTCCACGGGGCTAGTTTAAAAATTAAAGTCACGTCCAGGGAGCTAATATATTTGTAAGTGGCCCTGGCTCAGGTTGAGTTGCACATGACTTTATTTTCAATACTGAAAGGTAAATACTGCACTTTATTACCCTGACTGCATTTTCTGGGCTCTCTTACCTGAAATATTAATCTCGTTACTTAGCATTTCAGAAAATCATTTTGCTGTGGTCAGTACTACAAAAAATACTTATGGGACTATGCATGTGTTTAGAAAGGTAAAACCAGATTTTCTTTTTAATGTGGTAAGATAAAAACATGCCAAGCAGTTCATTTGAACTAATCCACCTGATCAGTGTCTGTAGAGCTGGGGGCGGGGAGAGCCTAGAGCTGAGTAAGACTTCCATCTGAGTGGCTGGAAGCACTAGAAGGACTTTAGATGGAAATAAAACTCACAGTCTCCTTGGTTTCTCTGCGTGAATGGTTGTACTTCATACAGTTCACCTACATTCTATGAGGTGTGAAATGTTCAGTTGACAACTGCCTCAGAAGTCACCTGTTTCTGGTTTCCACTGTCTTGGTCCTGGGACAGGCATTTTGGAAGATAGAGACCTTTAAAATATGGTCTATCCTGGCCAGGTATAGGGAACCCAGTTGAAGAGAAAAGATGGAACAGGAACAGTGCAAGGCCTTGTTTTACCAGATAGTGAAATTCATGAAGATTACATTCGCTGCTTTTGTTTATGTTTTTTTTTTTACCTTTAATCCTCTAAATGACTGTGATGTGAGCGATGACCATCCCCGTTCTCTGGGCAAGGAAACTGGGGTTCAGTGAGTGAAGTGTTGGGTCTCAGTCCGTGACTCATGGTTGGAGGCTGGGCCCTTCAGACACCAGTGGACGTGGTCCCCCCGCCTTGCAGCCGGGCTTCCAGGCAGGATGCCCGGGAGAGAGCTGGGTGGGATCCTTGAGCTGCCCTTCCGTTCTCAGATTCTGCTGTCCGGCCAGTCCTCTCTCCCGGGGGAAACACAGATAGTGACACGTGGCTCTAGATTTCTTAGGAAGTAGAGAAATGCTTAAGGTCCAGTTGCTGTTACGTTTGGCATTTAGAATGAGAACGTTGTCTGTTATGAAGGGCATAGTAGAAAAGTATCTCAAATGCTCCGATTAGAAGTGTTCAAGTCCCCCACCTCCCTGTTCCCAGGGTCAGCGCTTACATCGAAGAAGAGGTCCAGAGGCGCCTCCAGGATTTGCATCGTGTGATTTTCAGTGACGGCAGCACAGCTACAGATACGACGAAGGTGAGCTGGGGGAGCAAAAGTAACGCAGCCCCTCCCTTCTAAGATCGCCTTTCAACAGGTTGGTGGCGGTGGAGGTGGCATCTTCTGTTACTGTTTTCCAGTGGAAAAATTGAGATGCCAATGTGCTAGAAAAATTAAATACAGGGTGGAGCCTAACAGTTAACAAATAGTATGTGTTCAAAGGTAACGTTATTTATTTGAAGGTTTTGAACTTCTGGCAGAAATTCTTAAGTGAATATAAAGTTTCCTAAAATGTTTTATTTTGTTTGATTTATAAAAATTCTACATATAGCCCGGCCGTGCATGGCTTAACTGTTGAGCATCGACCTAGGAACTAGGAGATCGCGTTTGATCCCCGGTCAGGGCACATGCCTGGGCTGCGGGCTCGATCCCCAGCTGGGGGCATGCAGGAGGCAGCCGATCAATGACTCTCATCATTGATGTTTCTATCTCTCTCCCCCTCTCCCTTCCTCTCTCTGAAATCAATAATGATATATTTAAAAAATAGATATAAAAATTCTACATATAACATTTTTCTGTTTTCACCAAAAATGCAACAAACTTCACCTGAAACTAATACAATATAATATTGAATGTAAATTGTCATTGAAAAAAATTTTTTTAAATAAAAATAAAGAAGCACAACCAGCTTTCTTAAGTATTTAATTTGCTTGATAAATTATCCCAAATAGAAATATAATTTTGCTTTTGAGAAAATACATATTTGCAACAAGTTGATTTTTATCAAACTAAAAGCATTGCATTTCTATCCTGCAGATTTAAGAATTGTCCTTAGGAAATCTTGCTTTTCATATTCTTAGAATTTTAAGATTCAGAGTAAATGGTTCAGTTCTCTTACAAGCAGAGGGATCGATAGAGTCATGTTTACCGTGGAGTATAAATTCTATTGAAAGGTTGTCATTGTTGAATGACAAGTATGTTTCTTTAGAAATTTGCTCCCATAAATATTTCTAATCAAATCAGTTTTTTTCCTCCTCTATGAACACACTATAATTTAATACAGAGGGCTCTTTATTTTCTTTTCAGAATAATGAGAAGCTTCACAATGGTACCATTCAACGCAAGCTAAAATATGAGGTAGGTAATGACTTTTCAGATTGATAGGGTCTCCTTAAATTATGGCATGCTCATGTGATTAAATTTTCTTAATGTTTAGTTGCATAATTAGAATCTTGAAGTCCCAGGGAGATTAATGGCTAATGGGGAAGGCAAGCTATTATATGGACTAAAAATTAAATGGAATCCTGAAGGTTCAAAACCGCTCTGACTTTATTTGAATGGCATGTAGCTGGGGTGGAGGTGCTTTGCCCAGTTTTTCATTGGCAACAGTATCCTTTCCCTTGGTTTGCATTTAAAAGGCAGAATTATATAATCAGAATCAGATACGGGGTTTGGAAGTGAAACTGAGTACCTCTCGATATCTTAAAACCCTGCTTATTTCATAGACTGAGTTGGCAGTAGTACAAAGGAAATAAGTCTTGGTTGGTTAGCTTAGTTCTCTGTTGGATTGTCAAACCAAGGTGTATTGGGCATACGATTTGTAAGGGGTTTAGTTGTATTTTTCTCCACTGAGGGGCTTGTCCTTCCCATATGTTCCTTAAAAGAAGAAAAAAAAAAGAAACAGAACTTGCTAGGTGATATAAATCTTCCAGACGGTGATCCTAAATTACTGAACAGAGAGTGAAAGGCGAAAGCCCGGGTGTTCCAGTCATCCAGCAGTGGGCATCCGTCCCTTTCGCTGATAACCTTGTGAAGAGCAGGATGGTGCCTTTCATTTCTTTATATCCATGGCGCCTGGCCTCTCACGGTGCTGGTTTGTAGATATGGTAATAACAGTCTATCCAGGTTAGATAAAATTAAGGAATCTCATGAAATGAACCAAGAGGCAAGAGAAATATGACTCAGGTTGGAATGCCTGTCAATTTCTTTTGGCCTCAGTGTCTGATTTTCATTAAATATGGCCTGATTACTATTACATTTTGGACATATGGTCATGGATTCTTTTTTACAACTAAATTTGACCTTTGGAAAACTGACCCAAAGGACTTAGGATTTATTTTAGAGTGAATGAAATATTAGACCAAGAAATGGATACTGTAGATCAATTCCATACAAGGTACTTCTGTAAAATTACTCAGTAGCTTATTAGATATTCCATGTGTGAATCCAATCATATATTTTTAAATCATGTGTCAATCAATACGAATGGCTTCAGCTTTTGATTTAACCTCCAAATCAATCCTCACAATGAAACCAATGACCGCAAGAATGTTCATGGGAAAAAGAATCACAAAAGCTGCTACCACATCCCCATTTCAACTCTTTTTGACATCTTGAACAGAAAGGGCGTCTTGCCCCGCTGGTGCCCAAAGATGTCACTGACACTTTCAGCAGAGAGGAGAAGAGGGAAGTGGGTCAGAACAACCACCAGAGTGATCTCATGGCTTGGAGCCTCTCAGGCCCTGCACCTTCCTCTTCAGTATCAGGAGAGAGAACCCACCAGCCAAGGGATCAGCCCTCAGCACCTGAGATGATGCAGAACAGTGACTGCAAATGCCCTCCTCCTGAGCACACAGGTGGCTGTCGGTCAGAAGGCTTCAATCTATCTAAAACCTTTCTTACTGAAAGCAACACCAGCAATGCAGACCACTTTCGGGTTAATTCAGAAAACATCACTGAGCTGATGCCTCATAAAGGTGAACGCAGCTTGGGAATCGAGTCCACCTGGACTTTGCTGCAACATACAAGCCGAGAAGTGTCTGTGAAAAGTGGGAACAAGCAGACCAGGCAGAGCAAGTTACTCTACTGTGTTCTTTCTGAAAGTGTTTCTAGTGAGGAGAATGCACCTGCCAGCGTGTCGCAGTGGTCACCAGCCTCAGAGTTTTGCAGCGAGCAGCACACTGAGGAAGAGTTAGCTTCTCAAAAAGCTAGCCCTCCAGAGTCACTGATGAATATCAGGGCAGAAGGGAACAGTGGACTGGGATATTTTTACCACAGGTTCTCGAACCTTTATAAAGATACGAGCAGTCACCTGCTGCAGGCTGGCACAAAGGCCATCAGCCAAGCCAGGAACGTGGGGAGCCTGTGGGACCCCAGCGGGCTCACCTCCCAAGTGGCAACACTCATCGGAAGACTGCCACTGGTGAAGCACTTGCCCCTGCACCTGCCCCTGCCCCTGCCCCTGCCCCTGCCGTCACACCAGGCACCCTCAGAGTCTCATTCTTTTCCTGCCCAAGGTCAGGTTGGTGGCAGCGAGGAGGCCGGGGCCCCCGGGCCAGCGGAGAGCGGGGCTCCTTACCGAGCGCCAGGCCTCTCGGCCTCCCAGGCGCCAGGCTCCTCGCCGAGCTCAGTTGTCCGCCTGGAACTTGGAGGGGCCGGAAGGATCCCCGCGTTTAAGCAGACGCTTGTGCATTTCCCAGATCAGATGCTAAAACTTCAGGAGCTCCCTGTAGAAGACTTTCTTGAGCACGTGGTTTGCCTCCCACCAGAACTTTTGGCCGACACGCCCGAAGTCAGAGGCGTTTACTGGCTCGCTGTTGCCAACTGCGCACAGCCGGACCCCCGGCCAGCGTGCTTGCTCCTGCTCCCTTCAGCTTTGTGTGCTGTGGTTCTGTCAGATACCCCCCCGGGCCCCATGGGCATTTTTCACACTCTGCCTCTCTCTGGACTCCGGGAGATTCAAATCGGCTTCGGTGGGCAGAGCATTCGATTCCTGGGCTCCTCAGAGAGTCTCCTGCTCACTGTCTTTGGTTACAACAAACACCTCTGTCAGCAGATATGCCGCGACCTCCTGCGTGTCCTGGTGCCCGAGTCCGAGGCTGCTGCTTGCACAAGCCATCCTTTGCTCCAGCAAGATCTGGTCCAGCTGTCCCTTGATTGGAAAGCAGAAACCTCTGACTTAGTTTTGTCGAATGGAGTCCGGCTGTCATCCAGATTCCAGAACACCATGGTTGACCTGATTTACTTTCTCCACGGAAACATGCAAGTCAGCATCCCCTCTCTGGCAGAGGTTCAGCTACTGCTCTACACGACCGTCCGGGCTGAGGACGGTTCTGGCCAAGACCCGTGTCAGTCCCTGGCCCTGCTGAACACGCACATCGCCCTCGTGAGACAGGATCCAGTCTTCTACCCGCACGTTCGGTCTCTGAACTCACCTCCTCCACGAACACGGTTTGATGTCCTCAGATTTCGTGCTCTGAGTGAATTCAGGTGCATTGTTGTTCCAGAGAAGGAGGCATTGCCAGCAGTACAGCTGGTCTTCTGTCAAAAGCGGAAACTTCCGTCCGATTCAAGAAATAGTCTCTCTGAGCCCTCGAAAGATGCCCGGAGCATCCAGCTGCTCACCAGCCAGTCGTGTCTTCAGGGCAGTCGGCACGGGGCCCCCGAGGTCTGGAAGCTGACCCTCAACTCGCAGGATGAGGCTCTGTGGCTGATCTCACATTTGACAAGGCTCTAGGGGGAGACCTGGGAAAACACTCTGCGTATTCTTGGAGATCTGCAATAAAATGAACTTGAGGAAAGCCGCCAAGGACTACCAGTATCTCAGTGGAGCCAACTGATTTGAGACGGGACAAAGGCAGATGTCTGAAGTGAAGGGTCCCAATATATTAAATATCTACAGTAAAACAAAAGCAGATCATGGCTGAGTGCTGATCAGATATCCGCATCGCCGCCTTCCTTCTTTTTCTTGAACCCCAGCCTTGTAAATTTGGGTCTGCCTCATTTTTTGTGAGGCCATGAAAGCCTTTCTGATGGTTTGGCTTCATGGCGACCCACAGCGTGGTGGTGTGGAGTCTCTCTTTGCCTGCCGGCCTCTGGCAGGCTAATTTGTGCAGCCTGCAAGGTGCCCAGCCTGGCAGTGACCTTCATGGGCCCCCCGTTTCCGCTGTGGTTAGGACAGCTCCGTAGCAGAGCCCGTTAGTGACGGCCCAGCGTCCCGAAGGCCCCGGGGGCTTCGTGCCCTCCCCTCACCGTCGTAGGCAGAATGCAGATGCTGCGTGCCCTGCGGCGTCTTCGCTTGGCTACCTGCCTTCCTCCTTTCTCCTCTCAGACTTTGTGACTGTCCCTTTCCAGCCTCTGTGATCTCAGCTCTTTACCTGTCGGTTTAGCTTTGCCTGCTGCCCCCCTGCAGCCTGCCCCGCATCCCGACCCTTTCTCCGGGCCTCGCATTTCACTCCTAGAGGCTGTCCACCGCCGTGTCTGCTCCTTTGCGCTGTCTTATCAGACACAGGCCCACTCAGGCGGCTTTCAGCCCCCCTCCCCGGCTGTTCTCCCTCTCGCCCCTCACCTAACCCATCGCCCGTGGCCTCTGACCAGGCGCCGTGCTGGTCGGTGAGCTGGCCTCCCTTCTGACTTGAATTCATGCCCATGTTGGCCTCTGGTCTCTCCTCACGAAGTGCCATCCGGTTGTGAGTTGCCCTCCTCCTCTACAGAGGCTTAAAACCAGCCTCTTCAGAATTTCCCTGTCTCCTGTTTGACCCCTTTTGCCCACCTCTGTTGAACATTTCAATAAGGAATCCGGTGGCATGTTTTGTGTCTTTTTCATGATGTCATCTGACCCTGGGTTGCCCTGCCAGCGTGCTCCTGTGTCTCGGGTGTGTGTGTTCTACTAAATTAGCGAGCCTTAGAGGGAAGGGGGCTGATGCCTTCATTCCTCCATCCGCTCTGCTTCCCCTTCCAGCTGGGATCGTGCCCAGCTCACCGTAGCTGCTCATCGAGTGATGCACGCAGTTGAGTGAGCCAGCTGTTCCGTTAAGCCATTCATTTCATGGGGGGGTCCTTTTCTGTTCTGGTCAGATCTCTGGATAACGGGCAGTGACAATGTTGTATCCCGTCCCATTTCTGTTCCTGATTGATCATGGAGACAGTGTCAAAGCTTAACCCATCCAGAAACTTGCCATCTCTCTTTGGTGAAGGAAGGCTCTTCCCTCTTTGCCCAGGCAGAGCTAACAGTAGTGTGGTGATGGTCTTGGGTGGGGTGAGGGTGGGGGAAATTGGGGTTCATCTCTACTACTGTCAACAATAAAATAAAAAATTAATAAAAACCCCACAGTAGTCTTCTAATATCCTAATAATATGTCTCCTAATTTATTTTCATATTTTTTACTTTTTTCAGCTAATGTACTTTCCATGACCTTTTTCTTCATATTGTCCCACTGAGTATTTTCTCTTCATGATCACAACAAGCTGAGAGAGTAGAATTTAAGAAGCCAGCACAGGGACGCTCTGGTGGGAAAGGAAACAATACATAAGTAGTACAAAATTTTAACAAGGAGTGATAAATATTTGACAGACTTACTTGTCCTCATAGGTTAAGACGCAGAACTCTCTCATGTGATAAATCACGGTCTTCAGCATTGCTCATGCATGGAGCATGCAGCAAATGCAAGCATTGCATAAAATCACCTTACTATAACTCCTCAGTCCGCTTCATGGTGCAAGCAGGCCACCATGAGGATTACATTCGGAGCCCACCACGTAAAAGAAGTAACCTCTGGCATTCAGATTCTGCATGTCACTTCTCTCACCTAAACACGCTTTTTACCTTGAGATCAAATATGGTTTTTGATACCAGAATTTGATTTACTGTCCATGGAGTGAGTGTTAAGGTTGTCGTAATGCCTATAGAAGCCAGTGGAATAGTGTCGGTGCCATTATCCACTGTGGCTTCCATCCCAGCAGCCTCCCTCTGGCTCCACTGGCTCATTTCTCGGGAATGGGAGTGCCCTCGGCACCACTGTAGTGGAGCGGGCATGAGAGTCCCAGCATCCAGCTTCATGCGACATCTCCATTGTAATGTGTTCCTGCATCAGGGGAAAAAAAGGTTCATACATACTTTATGTAGCATTTTGCTTTGTTGTAATAGAGGCATAAACATTTACAGTGTGGCTTGTTAATGCATTCAACACAAAACCTCTTTGAATACTTTTGAAACAGTGATTTCATCTGAATTTGATTAAAATCCATTTTGCTCACAGCTCCCTATTTTGCAGACTTGTGGTAAGATGAATTTATTTAGGCTTTGCTGAAAAACTTTTCAAAACAGGTTGTCTCCCTGTTCTCGTTACTTAAAAAAAATGTATGTGCATCCTTTGAAGAGAATACTTATGCCTTCCAGCAATAGTAATTATGGTAATTTTTGTCTTCATTCGTTTTCCTACATGATGTAATGTTTTGAATGATAAATAGATTAGAGCACTTTTATTAATGCTTCTTCAATGGTCAAGCAGTCTCACTGGTAGACCAGTTTTTAATGAGGTCATTTTAACTTACTTACACAGCCTCCAGTATGCATCTTGGACAGTTCTGCATCATTCCTTAAAATATATTTTGTAACAGATGTTACATCAGTCAGCTATTGCCAAACAACAAATATCCCCCCCAAATTTCAGCAACATACAAAAAAACCCCACCATTTTATTTCTCACTGATGGTTTACAAACAGGTTGAGGCGGCTCTGCTGTAAACTACAGGTCATCTGCAGTCAGCGAGGGTCGGTGTGCTCCACGTGTCGCATTGTGGGGCCTATGCTGAAGGGCCAGTGGCCATCACAATGATGACAGAAGAAGAAAAGGGCAACCATGCCTCATGTCTGCTAATGTCACATTGGCTAACACAAGTCACATGGCTGAGTCCAAAGTCAAGGAGAAGGCAATGCACTCCATTTACCAAGAAGCCGTGACATGACTAAGGCTACATACTACAAGAGAGAGAAAAACTGGGACCAGTACTTCAATCTACCACAGATGTACTATGTCAAGGTTCCCAAGGCTATTGAAGATAAAATTCACATAAAACTTTAGACTTTTTCCTAACAGAAGTGGTCAGTCACAGGAAGAACATAGGCTATACGACATTTAAAGTTAGCTAGTTCAACTTGCTTTCCAGTCCCGTCTTTGCTTGACCTTGCCATGACTGGGCTGACCACTGTCTACCTCTGAAGCAGCTCATTTTTTGGGAACTGCTCTCATTGTTAGACTATTCTTTCCATAATCTTTCCTTATTGTGATGCCCATTTTCAGAATCTGTCTGTCCATGGCACTCATCTGTAGCAGAGCAGAGCAAGTCTGTTCCACAATCTACTATATCACAGCCCATCAGAGGAGACAGTCATCTCTCTCTCCTCTCCTTTGACTTTACCTCCAACACCCGTCAGTTCCTCTGCTATTTCTTGCACAACACTTTCCAAGCCACCACCATCCAATCTCTTGTTCCTTAACCAGAGATTGCACCCTGGTAATTTTGTAAAGCCTTTATAAGAAATAGAGCTGAATAATCCAGTTTGTGGGAAGGAAAGACATTCATTATAAATCATTCCTCCTGCCTTTTTTTTTTTTTTTAATATCTGGTTAAAATCTTTTGTTGCTGAAGATACAGTGGATTATAGCATTAATAGCTCCAGGCACCCTTTATATTGTGGTTGACAAGGTACAGTTCTTTCTCATGTATTGTTCCTGAGAGCTCACAGTGATTCTCCTGGGGTGGAGGAATTGTCATCATCAGTCTCAGTTTCATGTTTTGGAATTTAACTCAGAAAGGATCACGTGACAGGGAATTGGAACTCAAACCCAGACCTTCTCTAGAATATGTATGTTCTTTCCACAATGCCAACGTCACCTTCTAGTCACGGTGATTCTTGACATGGGGTACATTTTTTAATTGATTTTTAAAAATGAAAATGTACTAGGAATGAATATTTGGAAGAATTGTTGAGTTGATTCTTTTCTGACTTGTAAGTTTTTCTCTTGGAATTTCTAGACGTTAAAGATTATTCTTTTCATGAGTTTTGGAGACTTTTTTTTCAAGAGTTGCCTTATAAGTTTCTTTGCAATTCCATACTTTCCTTGTATGGACGTCAGTCTTTTTTTAATTTTTTACCCCCGGCTCTATACATTTTTAACTGCTATGGAGAAAATCTGGATACAGTCATAACCTGGCTGTGATGATCTTGTGTGGTCAATGTGTTTCTTAACTAGAAGGTTAAACAGTGTGCTCTACAGAAACCCAATGAAGAGAATCTCTACTCCCCACTGTCATTTCTTCTGCTTAGACTTCAGCCCAGGTTGAACCAAAACCAGGTCTCAGCAAAAACCAGTGAGCGCCACTGAGTGGGACTTTTCATGGTTAGTGGAAGACATTGTAGAACTGGAAGGGAGAACTCGATTTTCCTTCTACGGGTTCTAAACTCTGTAATCGTGTTTGGTGATTAGAGCCACATAGCAGTTGTCACCATGTTCTCAGTCTCTCTAGACCCATTAATTTAATCTTTTAAATCATCTACTTTATGATGAGTTATCTGGAAATGATGACCATTAAAGGGACTGATCTTTGGTGATCTAGAGATAGATGGCGACATTTTTAATAGTTTCAAATAGAAACATTCATCAGATATCCAGTGTTTCCAAATCCTGAAACAGTGTTGACCAACTCAGATGTATATGGGTGGAATAACCTATTGTGGTAAGAATCATGAATTTTAAATGTTAGCCAAACCTTTTGGATTTACCCAAAGGCCACTAGGATAAAAAAGATATTCCACAAGCATCATTTTCTGGGTGATTTACCCTTAAAGATAAATATCAAAATTAAAGAAATACTCCTTATTTGAAAACCCTTATTTCTGTCTCCTGATGTATTTTGAACTCGCTTTAAAATAAATGAAGGTTAACATCACTTCCTCATGCCAGGCTGCCATCCAGGCCTCACTTGGCTGAGATTGGTCAGCGGTACCTGTAGCCTGTGTGGCCAGATGTCTTAGCAAAATCCAATTCAGTTGTATGGACTAAGCCTTCAGAGTAGCTTGGTGTTAGCACAGGTTCCTTCACGGCACAGGCAGGCTTCACCTCGGGGAGATAAATATAAATATCTTGGCCCCTTACCGTAATCATACTTTGCACCTGCTCACACAGGTCACCTTTATTTCCTGTTCCTTGTACCATG